AAAAGGATCACCCATATACATACAATATTCAAAACAGTTAAGAATATATATATATATATGAATATAATGGGAGAAAATCTGTTGGGTTAGGCAATAACTTTTTATGTACAACTCCAAATACCTGATCCATGAAAGAAAAAGTTAGACTTCATTAAAATTAAAAATTTCCTATCTGTGAAAGACACTGTAAAGATTATGAAAGAACACAAAGTTAGAGAATACATCTGAAAAAGTCATAGCCGATAAAAGACTGTTGTCCACAATATACCAAGGATTCCTAAAAGTTAATAATAAGGAAAAAACTCCAATTTTAAACATGAACCAAAGATGCAACAGACCAAAGAGCTGCACAGATGGAAAATGAATGAGATGCTTCATGGGCTGTATTACCAGGGACTGCAAATTCAGACAACTGTGAGAGATCGTATACAATGATTAGAAAGGCTAAAATGCAGAACCCTGACAATTCAAAATGCTGACAAGGATGTGGAGCAACAGGAAAACTGATTGCTGGTGGGGATGCAAAATGGTAACTACAACACTTTGGAAGACAATTTGGTGGGTTCTTACAATGCTAAGCATGCCCTTATGATCCAGTAACTGTGCACTTAGCCAAAAGATTTAGAAACTTAGGTCCATATTAAAACCTGTGGATATTCATAACAGCTTTGTGTATGTGTGTGTGGGGGGAATGCGGTATTTGTGTGTGCAGTTGCTCATGAACGTGTAAGTGTGTAAAAGGGGTCCATATTAAAACCTGTGGATATTCATAACAGCTTTGTGTATGTGTGTGGGGGGGGAATGCGGTATTTGTGTGTGCAGTTGCTCATGAACTTGTAAGTGTGTAAAAGCCAGAGGTCAATCTCAGGTGCCCTTCCTTGGTGTAGGGTAGCTGGCCAGTGAATCCCAGGGATCCTCCTGTCTCTGCCTCTCCAGTGCTGGGATTATAAGCACATGCCACTGAACATGGCTTTTTACATGGTTTCTAGGAATTCAACTCTGACCCTCATTCTTGTGTAGCAACCATTTTATCAACTGAACTGTTGCCCCAGCCCTGAAAAGCTTTTTATATAC